AATTCATTTACCAGAGTTTTAATTGTAAATTAAATCTTTTGAAAATGTAGTAAGACTATGAAACATGTTAAGAATAAAAAATATTGTGATTTTTATTAAAATTTATATATATATATAGGGTCGTTTCCACCCTTACCGTGAGTTTAACAAAAGTTATTATAATATGTTAGATTACTCAAAAAGTAGAAATTTATTAGAAATGAATTTTTGTAGCCGTCAATGTAGTACTATAAGAGTTAGTTTAAAATTATTCTCACTCTGAAATTTAAATCAATAATGTACTTATTTTGATCAAACTTTTAAAGCGCAGTTTTCCATACTTATCGTAAGTGTTTCACACTTATCGTATATATTGTTGACACTTATCGTATATCTTAAAATCTGCTTTAGTGGCTGGTTTTTAATGCGTTTGCGGTTTCAAATGAAAACTTAATGCATTAGTAACATTTTATTAAACGTTTTTAGGTATATAAATTTAAAAAAAAGACTATTAAATAAACATTAATTATATAGTAATGAAAATATTATTTTGAATTAAAACTAAAGATTTTTAAAGCATTTCTATTAATTTAGTACAAATCTTTTAAAATGGAAAGGATAGTATTTCATAATAATTATCTGAGTCTTATATAATAATTATTGTTAACAATGGAACTCATTTTCTGACTCAGTTTCAAGGCTTACTTTTTCTTTTGCGACTTTCTTTTTCTTTTTCAAAATTTTCATGTTTTTTCATTTAATAACTTTTTTTTCCATAGCCATTTGTTTCTTTCTTAATCTTTCTTACTCTGTTTTTGAGTTTTTATCTGCAGCTAATTGTCTCTTTTTTAATTTTTTATCATTTAATTGTGACTTTTCTTGCAATTTTGTCTTTTGAATTTGCCACGTTTTAAATGTTACAACAGATGGTAAACGTTCTATTTTGCGCTTGGACTGGTTGTTTTGGCCATATTAAAACACTTTTAATTGGATTTATGATTTCTGCTGCTATTTTTAAACTAGAACAAGCTGGTTTTGGTTCTATTACCGCTGCAATATTGCAATCAGGCATTTCCATACCGGTTTTAACTTGCACATTTTCTAAATTACAAGTTGTTGATAGACCTTTATTACCCTGTTGTATTTCATCAGGTAAAATTGTGGTCTTATATGTTTCAGATGAGGCTCTTTTCCAAAAGTGATACAGCTGGAGTTATTCAAGATCACCTTTCCAACCTAAATGTTCGTCAGCTATTTTAAACTGCTCTAAAATACTTGGATCAATGCAGTTTTCAATTAAGTTTATGGGAGAGGAAGCTGATAAAGTCACACTTGATTGATTCTCTTCTAAATAAGGAGTCGGAGCCACAGTTGACTTGGATAATCTTTGAACAAGTTTTGTGTAGTCCACACTATTAGCATCAAATAGAAATATTCTGGTATTTTTAAAATAACTTTTAAAATTATTTGCCATAGAAGGATCGATTGAATTTAATACTTCTGGTACATTTTCATTATTTATTTCTTGTCCTTCATGGTCAATGCCCTATTGTTGGCAAAAAGATTTCCACTTTTCTTTCATTGGCCCAAAAAACATCGAGCGACTGCAAAATATGTGTTGCATTTAGGAACAAAGCAACAAAAATTATTCCATTTTTAGAGCTCACTAAGTTCCATAGAAAAATGTGACGCATGACCATCAAAAAAAATAATAACTGGTAAAGGAATTTCTTCTTTTATCAAAATTGGATGAAAAATGTTTGTAATATACTCAAAAAAACATTCTGCGGTCATGCAACCATTTTCACTTTTTCCAATAACCCATCCTGATGGAGTAGTATTTATAATTCTATTTGGAAGACGAACATATATAAAAATTGTTAATGATGGAGCAAAGGTTCCGCTGGCATTTACTGCAAATAAAGTGGTGATTTTTTTTTATTACTTCGAGCACTTGCTTCATATGTATTTTTTCCTCGCTCACCAATTAATAAATTAGTTTTTGGTGACAACTGAAAACCACTCTCATCATTTAAATATTGAGCGTTTTCTCCTAAAAGCTTTGGAATTTCAGTAAACCAATCTCTTATGGCTTTTTAGTTATTATTCCTCCTATAGCTCGGTTTAAGTGTTCACCTCGTTTTTGAGATAGCTGTTTGTGACGGCAAAGAAATGCATAAAACCATCCTTTTGCAGGACGGTTGTTAGTAAATTGTATTTTTATATTGCTGAAATTCAAGTATTTTTGCACACTATCTAAGTTGATTATTTATTGGACATACAATATGTATGGAATGACATTTTTTTTAGTTCATACTTATCGTACGTTCAAAAATACTACATTGATACTATAATGAGTGGTTTTAATAATATTAATAATGATCCATGTTTTATTCACCTTATTAAATCAATTTAGAAATAAAATTTTATCTTACCTTCTTAAATTATCTTGTTTTATTTTAAACGCTTCTAACAGCTGGTACTAAAAAAAAGTATTTCCATAGGCTGACGTAATAAACCCTCTGAGTTTATATAAGTAATTATGTATTGCGGTTTCTATGTATTGTAATAGAAGTACATGACAATGTTGTTGATAAACAAAATATATATAAAAAAATAATAATTACTACTTATTGCAAAATTTATGTCAGTATTTAAAACCTACGATAAGTGTTGACTCACGCTAGGTGTGGAAACGACCCTATATATATATATATATATATATATATATATATATATATATATATATATATATATATATATATATATATATATATATATATATATATATATATATATATATATATATATATATATATCAGGCTTTCCCAGGAAAGGCGTGCGGTCGCACGCTTTGTTTGTCCACACATAGAATAAATTTTTCAGAAAACGTGACCGCGGCAATATTTCATTGGAAAGTGGAACTTATCCACAGAGAATAAAATATAATATTAAAAAAAGGAAACGAAGTCTAAACAAAGTATAAAATTGATATTGGATGTAAGAAAAATATTTTAATAATAATAAAAAAAAAAAAAAAATCTAGTAACAAAAAAAAAAATAAGTCCTGAACATTTTTTTCAAATTTTTTTTACTGTTTTTGTTTTCTTTTTTTAGGGTTGCTATTTTCAGCTACAAAATTTGATACAAGTCAAGGAAAAGGCGACAATAAATCATAAAGTTTTCACGAAAATAAAAAGACTTGATACGTAATTTATTCACTAACTTTATCAGATAATATATTAAAAAACTGATTCATTATTTACGCTAGACAAATTTGATTAAATTTTTTCATTTAATTTAGTTTTTACGAAGGTTTATGCAAAGGTGATGATTATTCCCAATACTTAGACAAGAAAATAAATTGCTGTTTTAATTATTAAATGTATTATTTGAGATTTTAAACATAACAAAATTTTAATGTGAAAAAAGTTCTCTCTCGACTTATTCTAAACAGATTATACTGAGTCAATGCTCGCCTTTTATTACGTTGAAATTATTCAATTGGATAATTTTGTAATTACAAAAGAAATTAAAAAAATAATTGCATTGCTTCTGTTGTCATTGTTACAAAAACAGTTCCTTCGGGACATTATTATGTATTAACACTCGTTCACAATGTCAATTAATGATTGCAAAATAAGCAACCCAATCAAATTTTCTTTCATTTGAAAATTGAAAAAAAACATATTTTACAAATAAATAGCAATCGTTTTCGCGCTTTCTTGCGTATCAATACGTTTAAACATTTAAATGTATTTACGAAACATATAAAAATTAATTAAAGTTCTATTGTGAATTTTAAAGTATTACTGACTGATAAAAGTCATAAACAAATTTTACATTAAAAGGTCCTTTTATTTTCATTAAACAATAATCTTTTTGTTTTTGATTTGATTTTTCTTTTTGGTTTGATTTTTCTTATTGATTTTATTTATTTTATTGATTTGATTTTTCATAGCTAAAATAACTACCACCCTAAAAAACAAAAACAAAAACGAAAAAAAAATATAGGTAAATTTTTTTTTTAATAATATACATTAATTTTTAAATTTGAAAGCACAAACAGATTTCTTTTATCTACTTTAAGATTGCTTGCATTTTTGCGGTATTTTCGTTTAGCTTTGTTTTGGCGCGAATTCTTGAAACGCATAATAATAAAAAAACGTGGTCAGTTAGTCAGAAAAATTTATTCTATGCGTGGACAAACAAGGCGTGCGACCGCACGCCTTTCCTGGGAAAGCCTGATATATATATATATATATATATATATATATATATATATATATATATATATATATATATATATATATATATATATATATATATATATATATATATATATAAGACTACGAAACATGTCAAGAATAAAAAATATTGTGATTTTTATTAAAATTTATATATATATATATATATATATACATATATTTATATATATATATATATATATACATATATTTATATATATATATATATATATATATATGTATATACATATATTTATATATATATATATATATATACATATATTTATATATATATATATATATATATATATATATATATATATATATATATATATATATATATATATATATATATATATATATATATATATATATGTACATATATTTATATATATATATATATTTATATATATATATATATATATATATATATATATATATATATATATATATATATATATATATATATATATATATACATATATATATATATATATATATATATATATATATATATATATATATATATATATATAGATATATATATATATATATATATATATATATATATATATATATATATATATATATATATATATATATATATATGAATATATATATATATATTTATATATATATATATATATATATATATATATATATATATATATATATATATATATATATATATATATATATATATATATATATATATATATATATATATATATATATATATATATATATTAATAAATAGATATAAAAACAAGAAACCTCTATCAAATGCTACATCTTTTGAAATGTATCCTATGAAATTTTTGTACTGCTAAAAAGACAAAGAAAAAAACAAAGTTTTAAAAATTGATAAATAACATATAACAATAGAGAATTTGTTATGGAAAACTTTTAAAGACTCAGTTCTAATTCATTCAGTTAATTATACACAAATTTTTCAAAAACACTAGAATATAAAAGTGCAATAGAACTAACAGAGTGGGCAGTGTGTGCAAAAGTAACAACAAACAACAACAAGTATTTCAGTAGCAACAATTCATATATCTAAGAAATTAACACCTAAGCTTAGCCAAGGTATTAGAAAGCAAATTAAAAAAATACAGCAAGCAATGACCTTAACTCATTTTTAGGCTTATATTATTTATCTTAAATAAATAGAGATCTAAATGACAAAAAAAAAGAGATTAGAATGAACTTTATGTCTTCAAAAAATTCATATTTTTTTCTACTTTTGAATAATTTTAAAGCAGAAGCCGCATCATTCTATAAGATTATGTTCTGAGAAGACATTTTTTAATCTATAAAACCTTGTGATTAGTGGAAATCTCATAATGATTGTTTAAATTAGGAATTATTGGAAGATATTAATCAGTTACTTATTACTGTTGCTTCATCTGCAGGAGTTTAAAGAACATTTTTATCATTTGGTCATGTACATTCAAACATTAGAAATTAATTAGGAACTGAGAAACCAGCCACATCTTTTTTTAACCTTAACTGTCTAAAGCTTTAAAATAATGTCTGCACAAGTCATCAAAAAAAAAAAAAAATAAGTGTTTCAAATAGATTTAATTTAATAGATTTGACAATTTGTTTTACTTTAACTAGATTTCTTTTTCATATTAACAATATGTTAAACACGTTTAAATTTTATTTGTTATTGTTAAAATTTATAAACATATAAATATATGTTAAAATTTTATACAAACAATCTAATCAAACTCTCAAAAAATCAAATTAACTGCTTAAAACAAATCAATCAAATTCTGCTTTAACTGTTTAAACAATTCAAAATCAAATTGAAGCTCAATAGAAAGTAAAATTAAAATTTTCAAAGTTTACTTTTTATTTTAAAGTTTACCTTTTCACCAAGAGCACAAAAGGAAATATTCTCAACCATATGCTCAAATATCACTTCACCTGTTAATAAAGTAGATTTTATGGACTTTGTTGATATGTTTGTCAGTACTTTTTCTCCACTATTTGTCAAGATAACATCTATTAGAAAATATTATGTATATATATATATTTATATATATATATATATATATATATATATATATATATATATATATATATATATATATATATATATATATATATATATATATATATATATATATATATATATATATATATATATATATATATATATATATAACGCAACTAAAACAAAACTCAGACTAAAATGCTTAGTCTATTTAATTTACGTATTAAAAAACCTTTTCAATCTTTGTTTCAACATTTTTATATATTTTTTATTTGTTTAATATGTTCAAAAGTTAAATATTTCTCATAAAAAATACATAGTTATATAAATAAAATAAAAAAACACTTTATAAAAACTTTTTTTAAAATTAATTAGTGTTTTTTTTTTATTTCATTAAAAGCGTTTCGATAATATAAAAGCATTTAAGATATCAAACTTATTAAATTGTAATGGTTTTCTAAAACTTTTTTTTTTAATGAAATTTTGTTTATCTTTTTAAATGCATTAACTTTAATCATTCTTATATTTAAATTCGTCAAAGAGACTTTCGTAGTCGTAGAATGTCATCGTTTATAAAAACAAAACAATTTTTTATTTTTTAATAAGATTTATTTTAGAAATGAACACTTAAACAATTTATATGTTTTAAGTTAAAAATATATATACAACTGTCAATAGTATTTAAAAAACAAAACTTTTTTTCAGTAAATTGTTACTTTATTTAAAATCCTTTCGCTAATATAAAAACATTTGTTGAGAAGTTTGATGTAATTAATTTCACTTTTTTAGAATATTTTTTATTTAGCGCGTTTCTAAAATGTTTTTTGAATTAGCCGCGGTCAAATCGTCATAGCAAAATGTAACTTGCGTGGTCATATAAAAACATGAAATCGCACGTCTTCCTGTGAAAGCCTGCTACATGTAATCATTTTTAAACAGATTATCAGAAAAATTTTAAACCTATTTTCAGTTAACTTTTAAATTGATTATTGGTGAGTTCAATATTAGTTCGGATTTAGTTGCATGTATTAACTTTTAAACTATTTTAATTATTAAACTATTTTATTATTAACTTTTAAACTTTTATTATTAACTTTTAAACATTTATTATTAACTTTTAAACTTTTATTATTAAATTTTAAAATTTTATTATTAACTTTTAAACTATATTTTATTATTAACTTTTAAACTATATTTGATTATTAACTTTTAAACTATATTTTATTATTAACTTTTAAACTATATTTTATTATTACCTTTTAAACTATATTGGTTACCTATATAGTTTTAAAGTTAATACATGCAGCCAAGTAAATCCAAAAAATTTATATTGATGTTAAAATAGTTCACCAGATGCCAAAACTAACTGAATAATTACTTAAAGGGTATATTATATAATATTAAGGGTATATTACAATATATTTCTATTACAATAAATAACCACTAATGTATTATGGAATCGAGAAATTAGAGTATCAGTGACCTGGACAATTATATATTAGATTATACAGTAGTAGTCAAAAATATTATTAGAATCATTTTTTTGTGCAAATACAACCCTTATCACGAATATGTTTTTAACTTGTTTCTTTTTTGTTTTAAAAAACAATAGCATTCAGTTAAATAATATTTTTCAGAAAAGGATTAAAAGTAACTTCTTAATAAATTCTAATATTTACATAAAATTTTTTCAGTAAATTTTATTGAACAAAGAGCATAGTAAAGATATTAATTCAATAGAAAATCATTGAATCACAAAAAGTAAAAAGTCAAATTGAAGTATCTAAACAAAATGCATATGCATGGGTCAAAATAAAAACTCATAGAAACAAAGTAAAAGCTCATAAGGAACTTTAGAAACAAAACTCAGATCTAATCAACCAAGAAAAAATACTGAAGGGGAATATTAGCAAAATGTCAACAAGTGATACTTCCCTTACTGCACTACAAAATTAAATCATCGGGGATAGTGCGAATCCGCGTAACTAGCATTGGCTACTATATTTGGGTGTTATTAATTTTAACACCAAATATCTATTGTTGAGATTAAAAAAGACATGAATAATACTCTTCATACTAAAATGAACCCAAAACCAGTTAAAATAAAAATATATATAAATTTTTAAACTTCTCCAGTAAAAAAAATATACTGTAGATACGCGGTATAAACTAATGATAGTTACGCGGTTTTGCACTATCCCCGACGAAATACAACAAACTTTGATTCGATCGATCATTAATAAAATTCTAATTTTTATTTTTCCTTGCTTTATTTAAAGACTTTAATTAAAGATGAATAAATATTTCTAAAAACTAAAATTGCTTATATATATATATATATATATATATATATATATATATATATATATATATATATATATATATATATATATATATATATATATATATATATATATATATATATATATATATATATATATATATATATATATAACTATATTTAAAGCATAATACTAACCTCCAATAATATAATATGTCATCATAACCTATAAGATAAATTAAACTATTAGAATGTTATTATAAAATATTATTTATTTAGTGTGTGGGCCAAGCAGTACCTACCAATGTTAAACACAAATATTTCTTTTTTGTTGATATAACCATTTTTTTCTTTTTTTAGGTTATATTCTAGTAAATTTATTATGGAACTATACAGTACATAACAATGTATTAAAATAATAGAGATTTATATTCTTGTCAATGATCATCTGTTACAATGCAGCACAAATAATGTTTTGACATTTAATGCATCACATTTCCATTTAAATTTCAACAAACAAAACCGTATATTTTAAGGCTCTGAAAATCCAAGAGCAACACACCAGCATTAGTTTCACCCATTTAAATGTACTGTTCGATGCTGTGTTATGACCAATAAAGTTATTAGTTGAAGCAAAATATTGAAGACAAAATACTGAGCATTCAACTAGAAACATTACAAGATGTAAAAAAAAATATTAAAAAGAGTTAATCTCTGTATCAAGAAAATAGTAGACATTTGTCTGAAACCATATTTCATACATAATTTCATATAATATATTTGATGTATAAAAAAAATAATCAAAATAAATGAATATTACTAAACTTATTTGTATTTAACATTAGTAAGCCTTAAATTGCCCTAGGGGAGAGTGGAGTACGATGATTTTGGTTTTTGCTTTGTAACAATCTATACACCTTTTTTTAGGCAATTGGTTTGATTTGTAGAATAAACTTACAAAATTAAACTTATTAATTACCAAGATACAACAGATTAAACCTGTGTATTACATTATAAACTACTAACTTATAAAAAATTTCAGTCAAATAAAGTGACAAAAGTTTATTTTGTTCTTTTTTTGAATTTTGTCTAACAATATCATACTAATTGTATTGCTAGAGGAGACATTTATTCTGAATTCCTTCTAAAAGTGAGACATACTTCTGAATCACTTATAAAAGTGAGATATTTATCTAAATCCCTTCTAAAAGTGAGACATTTTTCTGAATCCCTTCTAAAAGTGAGACATTTTTCTGAACCCCTTCTAAAAGTGAGACATTTTTCTGAATCTCTTTTAAGAGTGAGACATTTTTCTAAATCCCTTCTAGCAAAACTATGAAAATTCTGGGCATTCTTTATTCTTGAACAAATATAATTATTAACAATATTAAATATTATTAACAATTTTATATATTATATAATAATTTTTCTATAACAAAAATTAGGATAAATACAAATAAAAATAATTTTGATGAACAAAAATATATTAATAAATGAAAGTTTTCTACCTTACTTTTTTTGAAATTATATATTTTTGATTCAATGCAACATTTAGATATTGCCTCCCTAAAATAAAAATTTTGCATAGAATGTAAATTAAAATTCATAGTGGGCAAAGTATGATCATTTAAATCAAAAAGCAGAAAACTAATTAAACTTAAACATTTTATAAAAAAATAAATAAAACACAACTTTATTAATTTAAATCTTTTTAAAAAAAAATATTGCTTTTGTTTTTTATCATTTTTATTACAGTTTGTATTATTCAATTTGTTTTAATTTGTTTTTTATTTTTGCACTTTCACATATGCACTCCTTCATCTTATAGACTGGCATAGATGTAAACCTGTATTATATTGCTTCCTGATGATGAAAGCTGGATCTTAATGACTTTACTAAAATATTTTCTGTTTTTTTTCATGGTATTCTCCTTCTTATGCAGCTGAAACTCTTTAAAAGATTAATGGTGTTTTTACTTTTCAAAACTCTTTACATGATTCTCTTTACATAATTCTCTTTATTATTCTCTTTACATGATTCTCTTGACATGATTCTCTTTATTATTCTCTAAAAAATTCTCTTCAAAACTCTCTTGAATAATCTCTACAAAACTATCTTCAAAACTATACAAATAAAACAATTTTAAAAATGCTAATTTAAATATTATTTTTCTGTATGCTTAAAAATTTTCATTCAAATTTTTTTTCAAACTTTAGAGATTCCTTTGAGCCCTCTAGTGTTTTCACTGACCATCTAGTGTTTTTACTAGCTCTCTAGTAATTTCACTTGCCCTCTAGTGTTTTTACTAGGCCTTTAGTGTTTTTACTAATAATAGCAAGGTCTTTGAATCTTTAATTAACAAACATCATTTATCTTATCCTGAGTCAAACTATTAACTCAGGCTATCAATAAAGATTTCAATCTACTTGGTTTCTTAACCTGTTTTCATTTAAAATACTAAAAACTTGACTGTGAATTAGATGGAAACAGAGAAGCAATGGCTATTAAGATATTGAATCATTCCAAACCAGAGCATTAAAGTCGTCTTATATAGAAAACACTCACCTTCATTGTGATTAACTAAAAGATTTGATTTATGGTTCTGTGTTGTCATTTATATCAATAATCTTCATGTTAACTTGATTTAATAATGCAAAACTATATGATTTTTTAAAATTAAATTTACTTTCTCAAGACTCAATAGGATAGAGGAGCCACTACAGTCTCAGTTAATTTTTTTTTAACTTTCTTACTCTTGATTCAATTTTCTACCTCTATAAATCTGTTATTTATCTTTGTAATTAATACTGTTGCCGTATTTAGCCTGCTTCTTTTAATGATGTGGTTTCTCGTTTAGACAAAATCTCTTTATCTTTTCTACAAATATAAGACCATGGTTGCTGCTTAAGTAAGCTATCAGCTCTTGCTCCATCAATCAAAAATCAATCTTGTGTGGCTTCTCATTCAGCTAAGTCATGCCCTTTTACTGTACCTGCTTTAATAAAATGAATTTTATAACCTTTTTACTTTACACATCAATGTTTTAAAATTCACTCTATCATGTTTTTCTGACTCATACAATTTATACTTTTTAATCTATTCATTTTATTTTTTAATCCATCATGCAACCTCAATATGACTCTTAAACTCTCTTCTTTGCTTTAGTCAAATCTCAGCACAAGTTGGTTCACATCTTTAGAAGAACTTTGCTTTTGTCAACTCTCAGCATTTAATCAAAACAAGAGTTAAGTTTTTTAATCTTAAAAGTTCTGATACATTCTAGTACTAACATTATGTTGATCAATAGAATTGCCAGGAACAGACCTATAAAAGACAACAATCTAAAAAAGATTTAGATATATATATTGTATAATATAAGATTTGCGAATATATATAAAAGATAAGAGCTTTGAAAAAATACTAGCAGTTTCATATATTTAGAAAAACTTATAAAATGGTATTGAAAAAACACTAGTGGCTTCACAGAAGAACTTGTATATTGCTTATCATCAAAGAGGGCACTAAGTAATTGAATTATATAATAGTTGAATATATAAAACAAGTAGAGAGCGTTATGCAGTATCAGGACATTTGGCATTTGCCACATGATGCCATTCTGAATCTACCTGATGAACCAAACTTATTTAAAGAGCATGTAAAAGTCAAAACATCTGGCTCCTAGCAACTAATGGCTTTTCGAAGACCTCAAAAAGATGCTTAAGGAAAGCAAACTGGCTCAAATGAAGTAGTGATTGGCAAAACTAAGGTATATTTTAATAAACTTAAATAATAAATTCAAAGATATTAAATAAATTTAAAAAGTTAATATATCATTATATGCTAGTTACATTATAAAAAATATGTAAGTAAAAAACACACATTACAATAACATTTAAAAAACAACTTTTTTCCTACTCTGTGCTTCACTAGCTTCTTTTGTTATAAAATAAAATAAAAATAATTTTGAAAAATAATTTCTAAATGTATTCAAAAAAAAAACTTTTACCTGAGAATGTCTCCTCTTTGATTAAAAGCAAACATTCTCATTGACTCCAAAATTTTTACTGCACCAACATACTAGGAAAAAAAACAAGATATATATATATATATATATATATATATATATATATATATATATATATATATGTGTATATATATATATATATATATATATATATATATATATATATATATATATATATATATATATATATATATATATATATGTATGTATATATATATATATATATATATATATATATATATATATATATATATATATATATATATATATATATATATATAATATTATATATATATATATATATATATATATATATATATATATATATATATATATACAGGGTGTTAACCAGCCTGATGGCACCGCATATAATGCGGTATTCCCAATTGGCTTCAAATTCCCAAAGGTTCATAAAATCATAGTAAAAAAAAATAAAAATTAAATTAGTCTCAGACTTTAAGTGTCGCGCTATTCAAGTAAAAAACGCAATTAGAAGCATGACAAAAAAATGAATTAAATTGATTGATTCTTTTAATGTGTAAAAACGTGTCGTCACTAACAAGCATCCATTCATTAACATGATCATTCGTTCAAAAGTTTAAAAAAACTTTTAATTTTAATTTTTATTGACGTCAGTTAATCTTGAGTTAAGATTTTTTAAAGTTTAATAAATTATTTTATTATTCAAAAACTATTTATGTTTTTGCTGTTTATCTTAAGTTAGTAAAGTTACAAAGAAATTTGCATAATAATAAATATTATACTTTAAAATAAGTAAATAAAATTTTTGCAATAAAAGATTTATTAATACTCTCAGTAAAATAAATTAGTAGGTAAAGTAAATTGAAAATAACAACAAAAATAATCAAAAATAAAACTTGCAATGAAATGTATTATCTATGTTATATTTACGTAAAACGTAAAAGAAGATAATTAAATTATATTATAATATTATTTTTAACCAATATTTATAAATATAAAATTCTTTTTTTTATTTACAAATACAAACTTTATGTAGAAATTTAATGAATGTAATGTAAATTGAAATAATAATAATAATAATAATTTTGTATTTAAATACATTTTTTTTTTTAAATACGCTAATTAAATTTAGTTGCTGCCCTCGTGCGGTGAAAGAATCTCGCTTTGCCCCCTATATGTCTTTGTTATTTATTTAAATTAAAGTAGCATATTGCAACAAAAGTTCTTTTAACAAAAATTATATTTGACGGAAATCGGCGAGCCAACCAAGTTTTTCAATTAAAAGTTATTAAGATTACGAAAACTTAATTTAAAAGCTATTGATTTAAATAAGTTTTTAAACTGTTAAATTTATCAAATGATAAAAATTATAATATAAAATATGAGGAACAATACAACATTTGTAAAAAGGTTTTTTAAGTATTTTAAAATACTAAAGTATTTAAATAGTTATATAGTCAAATATATTTCTTCAGAACTAATCGTTTAAACCTTTTAAAACTGTATTAAAAAAACAATGTACGCAATTAATCTAGACCAAAGTTTCAATGAAATTAAATGATACATTCATTAAAACAGCAAACAATTGTCTTTCGTTCTTGTTTTCTCTCTACTTAACTGCAGCCGTTTTTCAAAGTGTCTTATGTAAAAAAAATCAATTTGACTTTTTTTACCAAATAAGCTAGCTTAGATATCAACAAGCGTTTTTAAATACATATTTTTAAAGAGTTTTTAAAAATTCATAAAAATTATTAGTTTCAAAAAGCGTTTTACAAAGAGTTTCTCTAAATAATTTTTTTTAATTAATAAGCCTATTAAGGCATTTGAAATGCCTTATACGTAATAAGCCTATTAAGGCATTTGAAAAACGGCTACAATATATCAAGCAAAGAGGAGAAACGATTTAAATATGAAAACTTTAGAAGATTGCCCATAATGAAACATTTATAAAGTAGAAAAATAATCCTGCTATAACTATAACACCCAGAAGTATACTCACCTTTTTTTTTTTTTTTAGCCGCACCTAAATTCTCAACTTCGCAAAAACGCTGTATGAAATTTTTTTCCTGGGTAACACCCTGATATATATATCTATATATATATATGTGTGTATATATATTACACATATATTATATATATATATATATATATATATAAATATATATATATATATATATATATATATATATATATATATATATATATATATATATATATATATATATATATATATATATATATATAATATATATATATATATATATATATATAGATATATATAGATATATATAGATAGATAGATAGATAGATAGATAGATAGACAGATAGATAGATAGATAAATAGATAGATAGATAGATGACCTTTCAATATCTATAGGTTGCTTGTGCTTCTCTATCAATTATATTACTACACACCAAAAATATTTAAAACATATTTAAGGTTGCTATGATTTGTGTGATTATGTCTGATTTACTACCAATTTAAAGTTTTTGTGCTTTTTCATTAAAAAAAAAAGTTTTAATTTTATTTTTACATTACAATTTCAAAAATTATAATGATAAAATTATTTTTTTAATTCTTTTTTAAAAAAAAGAATTGAAAAATTAAATTAATTTGGGAGTTTCAATTTAAAAGTTATTAAATTGGGAGTTTCAATTTAAAAATTGTAACTCCCAATTTCATAGCGACCACTATTAAGTTGGGAGTTACAAGATAACAAAGAATAGAGTTAAAGAGCAAGGTATTGATCAACAAAAGACTTGAAAAATTATAGGTTGTATGAGTCAGGAAAACATGAAGATGGGAGAGAGTTTCAAAGGGTTGAAGTGCAGGGGAAAAAATTAGATAAATAAAAGTTTTTAGAAAATGCAGGAACAGATACAGTAAAAGAGTGTTAATTCACTAAATGATGAGTCAAGCAAAAATGAGTTTTGGGTGATGGAACTAGAGATAATAGCATTTGAGCAGCGACTATGATAGTATTTGTAGAAAAGAGAAAAAGAGGCAACTTTAGGACAATGGGAGAGAGGCCCAAACTCGGCAGATAAAGCAGGTCCAAATTTTATTATACTTTATTATGTACCCTTTATATAATTAAACCAACGTTTTCAATTAATAAATTATGGTTAACACCAGAAATTTTTATTTTCTTTCAAATTTTTTTTTTATATTAAATAATTATATTTAATATTGCATTTTTAAAAATGTTTGATATAAAAATTTTATTTCTTTTTTCAACATTTGTATAAATGAATTAAAATATGTTAAATTTTTTTAAATGATTATTTCTTAAATTTCTAATTGCAGATTTGCAACAAAAAATAATTTTTTATTTTAAAAAAAAATCAGATAGTAATAAATAAAAAAATTACCTTAATTTATTTACTTATGTAAATAATGTTATTGTGAAAGCAAAGAATATTTTTTCAAAAACCAGTTATTAAAATTATATTGCTGTGCTTTTTCTTGCGTTATAAAAAATGTTTAACTTATGTTTTGCACAAATTTTTGATGCAGCATTGGAACACGTTTATTTAAAATTCAATTTTCAGTAAAAAAAAATCTTTAGGAAAGAAAACTGAAAAAACAATGGCAATAAAAATGAGCTAAATCTTTTTTAAGAATAAATAAAGTTGAAATATTGAACAATATTTAGTAATATTTTTAAATAAAACTGACAAGTAAGTAAACCCAAGCATTAACTTTAATTTTAATAAACTTAAATATATTTTTTTAATCAGAATTTTTTAAATCAAAATTAAATTGTAAAATAAAATTTTTTAAATCAAAATTAAATTTATATTTTTTAAATCAAAATTAAATTGTATATTTTTTTATCAGATTAAAATTATATACTTTTATCAAATTAGTTTTAAATTAAATCATATACTTTTTATCAGATTAAATTATACAATTATAATCTTTAAAGTATCAGCATTTTTCAAGCAAAAAAATCAATCATTGCAATAAAAATAATAAAAATAAAAATATCATAATATAAATAAAGATAAAACAAACTTTTTTTAAACTTTTTTTTTATTACTAATTTTTTATTTGTTATTAATAAATAAAAACTAAAGTAAACTTTTTTTTATTGCAATCAAAAGTTGATAAATATTCTTGTGCTTGCGAGATGATAAATAAAAATTTTATTATATATATATATATATATATATATATATATATATATATATATATATATATATATATATATATATAATAAAATCATTATATATATATATATATATATATATATATATATATATTTATATATGTATATATATATATATATATATATATATATATATATATATATATATATATATATATATATATATATATATTTATGTTTCCTTTAATAACTTCATATACAAAAAAAAATGTTATTTAGTATAAACAATTTTCTTTTTTGTTACTAATTACTTTGATAAAATAATTAGCTTAATAGAGAGATTAAGTTTTCGTAGTTATCAATTTTATTCGAGCTTTTTTCATCAGTAAATAGCACTTATATCTAATATAATTGTCATTCAAACTTTTGTAACAAACTTTTTTTACATAATCGTCATTCAAAAGTTCTTTTCTTTTATCTTACCACTTATAGAGTATTTAAGGAAGAATGATAAAAAGTGTCTTAATGAAAATAACTCTAGGCATACCTTAAATTGCTTAATGCATACGTAAATTGTCAGAAGCTTAATGCTTTAAACAAAGGCCTGCTAAATATTGGTACATGTACAATTCGGGAACAGAAACCTGGGATCAAATTCTGATTACCTAATCAGACTTTGTTAAGAGATGTTAGAGTACTACAAAGGAGCGATAAAAAGTCATAAACCCAAGGATGATTATCTTAAACTTTTAAATCTATGTTTCATCTTCCTTGGAGGTCTACTGAATTATCTCAGTTGAGTGTGGAAATTTGAACTCCTGATGCTACACATAACTCATAATGGATAGCAAAGGCTATATATTGTCTCAAAAAGTACATGATTCAACATCAATTTGTTGTTATTGCAACAACAAAAAAGTTTATCGAAAACATCACCTGTTTTGTAGCACATATCAACA